AGGTTTCCAATCATTTCATCGGAGCGAACCGCAACCGAAGCTTTGTAAAACAAAACATAAATCCAATATATTATGCTAGAGGACTTTTCACAAGTTTGTTTTCTTTCTGATGATCGCACGGGAAAATGGAAGTTTGTGTTCAGAAGAGTCGTAACTGACTTAAACAATGACTGAAAGTCATTTGAAAGATCTTATTTCATTCCAGTACTAAGAAAAAGCAGTTCTTATTGTATCAGTTTTCGACTAAATTTTCGAGTGTACGCTATATGTTCTTTTCAGCTAAAATTATAGGGTCGGAAAGTAATAATTAACTTGCCAAGTTAATCATTGACAGTCATTTAACTGACAACTGACAAATGGCCGAAAATTTAACTGACAACCGATAAATGGCCGAAATTTTAACTGACAACTGACATTCGTACCCCCCTCCCCCATCCAGACCCTCATACATACATACATATATACATCTTTATTTGACGAGGGTAACATATTAACTTACATATTAAGTTTTCTAACATATGGCCCTCACATATATACACAGTGCATTTTACAATTACAATCAATTTTACATTACAGATTTTAATATAATTCATACACACACAAAAATATAATAAGACATTCATAAAAAACACGAATCAGTTTGAATAGCAATTACAATCTAGTAAAAAACGGCAATCATGACAAAAAAGTTCCTCTAAATGCAATATGCGTGCAAGCTTGTTCGTAAAAAATAGGCGGAGTTTGGGTTTGATAGTAGTGAGGACGGTGTTGAGCGAGATAGGTAGTATAGAGGAGGAAGCAAGTTGCTTGAGATGCGTCTCAAGACCATTGAAAAGAGTAGCGACTGAGTAGGAAAAGGTGCGCTTACCAGAGTTGGTGCGAGATTTAGGGAGAGATAGATTGCAAGATGCTGCGCCGCTTGTTGAGTACAGGGTTTGAACAGAAGATAGAAAGCTAAAGCTGCGTCGTGAACAAGATGGAGTCACGATTCAGAAGAATGGAAAAAAGAAGTTGTAGCTTTCTGCATTTGATGACATCGATGATCGGAATCCAGTTAAGTCTTGAAAAAACCGAGACTGATGGAACAGAAAAGTCGGCATTCAGAAGGATGCGAGCAGCTCGCTTCTGGCAACGCAGAAGGCGGAGAAGAGAATCCTTGGAGCACGACCCCCAGACTGTAGAGCAGTATGCAAGTTTACTATGGATGCAAGAGTTGCAAAAAAGAAGAGAACTGTGAAAATCCCGCAAGAAGAAAGAGATTCTCCCAAGAAGGGAAACTCGACTATTTAGTGTTTTGCTGAGGCGATCTACGTGCTGGTCCCAGGTGAGGTGATCATCCAATAATACGCCAAGTACCTTAGCTGAGTTAACTTGCTCTACGACGTTACCATTCATAGAAGACGGTCAGATCAGGGCTTTGGAGATGTCGTAGCCTTTGCCTTGGGGTCACTAGCACAGATTTCGTTTTGGCCGCATTGAGCGCCATCCGGTTTAAATTGGCCCAACGACACACATCTGCCGAGAGTTGATTGAGTCTACTACCTAGAATTGACTGATCAAGTGCAAGAATCTTTGAGTGAACTCTTTGATGAACAAGGTCGATAAGTTTTCCGAGAATGCTGCTTTCAATTCCCTCTTACCTGTTAAAAATGAGGGATGGTGTGCATCAAGTAGACTGGCTATCAAGACGTTCAACAAGTATGGCCCATCTTAAAAATGAGGGATGGTGTGCATCAAGTAGACTGGCTATCAAGACGTTCAACAAGTATGGCCCATCTTCTGCTTGTGGGTCAGATGGCGAAGGTGGACTCTGGGCCAATCAAGTCTATTAAGTAGAAGGCAGGTAAACATTACAATGTTTTTTTTTTAACGATGTTAAGTTCTATCTATTTCTTTTCACTTTTCTTGAGATTATTGGGGTAGTCTAGTGACGTGAAGCTGAAGGCAAAACGTGACGTCGGATGGGACGGAGCTTAATTTGAATAGCACTGCTTTTACATTTCTGTGAGTGAGTCGTTGCGACTGCCGTATATAGATTGACCGAAAGGTAACTATGATATTGCCTCTCACTTTACAGAGAAGTTATTCTTTATCTCAACTTCTATCCTTTAAGCTGCAAATCCATTGGATGCAGCCAAAACACCGCAAATCGTGAAATCCAGATCGCTGTAAGGAAAGGATTCTATCCTGGATGAGTCTTATGGCATAGAAAACAACCTACCGCCAAATGCGCTGCGGCATCCAGTGCTACAGCGCCACATACCTTTGCCGAATATGGAAGATCCACGGATTATAAGCTGGATAGGGAGGGTGGACCATGGGCTAACCAAGTTTATTCTCGCATGTAACTTGCCGATGAGAGTCATATTCTGGTAAAGGGCATTAATTGTCAAAAGTACAAGGAAATCATCAAACGCTTTGAAAAAGTCATAAAATGTCCTTTGTTGTTCAACTCATTTTTAGCAATGGCATGCTGTGCCAGGCATCTGTTATTACTATATACATGTTATTCAGCAGTCGGGAGGTCCGTTTTGGAAGAAAAATATGCACCTGGTGTTAGATACCACCAATCAGATGCAAGATTTGTAGAGCACCGCCTGCTCACCCATTGAGAAAAATAATATGTTAAGCCGCACTCGGAAATGGAATCTAATTTTGCAATCTTAACATTTATTTCCGTGGATATAATCAAGTGATAGGAGACATGAAAATGATTAAGATAACTTAATCGAATTTGGTGTTCAATAACCTTTTCATCTGTAGATTAAGAAGGGTTTCTAGAAGATTGCGCGCATGTGCACGGTCCAATTTTGTGTATAACCATACATAGGCGTAAAAAATTCACCATCTGCTTCGCGGTCGTCCGATTTTGTTAAAAAGTCCTCTGATACAGACTAAATTTCTTTTCACTCTGACTCATAATAAATTGCACTGTAAGTCATGCATCACTCGAAACCATTTGCATCGCATTTGCTTCCCTCTTTATAGGACATATAATTTTGTTACTCCATCATTTCATGCATTAGTGCGCGGAACACGTATGGGTAGTTAGTGTTAAGGGTTGTATATGCTCTATCCTCCTAGAATTAGAATTTACAGGATTTCAAGGCTCTGGCTCGTCGAAAAGCTATCCATACTTGTGAAGAACAACTTCTCTCCAAGGCTTAAACTCAATTCTGGTATGAGAAAGCTATGCTTGTGTTAATAAACACGCCCTTTGATAGGATAAACAGTATTCGATTTCATGCCAGGTTCTAATTAAGAATAAATGTATTCATCATGGGTTACGTAACCCTTTCTTTGGGGTGTTGCATGATATGTTGTTACAATTGCTTCATTAGCGGTAGGCTATATATTTAAGCTGTTGTCATTTATATTCATTCGCGTCTTAGGGCCGTCCCTACGCCCTCAAAATTGTCTAATGTCAAAGAAGTTAGTCCAGCGAACGCAGATTATCTTCGCGGTGACGATTCGTTGCCATCGCTTCCTAAACAACCTTCCAACTTTTCTCATTCTCTCGAGGCTTCAAGACCGAACCAGCCTTCAGAACCCAGTGATATTGTGTCCGCGTTCTCTTTCCTTAAAGATTATTTCGACAAGAAGTTGGACGCCTTGAAGTGTGATATCCAAGAAGAGTCGCGCAGTAATACCGTCTTTGTAGCAAAAAAGCTCAAAGAAGAATCCCAGATCACGTTCAAGTTCGAGGGCAACAGGAAGCAATTTCAATTCAACTTCGACCTTGCAGAGAAGGTGAAGACGGCATCAGTTGCCCCTGTAAAGCGAAAATTAGTACTTGTTAAAACTCACCTGGAAGAACTAGACGTTGACATCAAGAAGCGGAACAAACTTAGTAGACTAGCA